ATGAATTGAGAATAAAGTATAAAGCTATCATTATATTCAAAACGTAACAAACTATAAAATTGAAAGCAGGGACTGTGGATTTACCTCAGCGACATAAGTGTCAGGCTGGCAAGTGCAAGGTCATGAGTTTGATCCCAGGCAACAAAAATAAAAATAAAAAATAAGTTATTTTGAAAAATTAAAACCAGATTTGTCTACTGGAGATAATTGGAATTTCAGTGCAACTCATACCAAATACAAATTATTTAATTTGTCTTGTTTTTTAAGAGCAAAACAGGAATACTTAAAACTTAGCATTAAATATGTTTTGAGTTTTCCACTTTACAAATTTTATTCCCTTTATATTTTCTCTAAATAATATTTGCAATTTGTTATATAGGAGACATTATTAAAATAAATTCTTGTAATCCAGTTCAAAAATTAGGTTAGATTGATAGAATACCATCATATGAGAGAGATAGAATGTGGATTGAGAAAGTTCCTGATTTCCGAGGATAAGACAATTAAAAAGATGACACACGGTGTACATTTACGCCTGATGAGCAGTCATATCCTCCATTTCTATGCTTAAATTCATAATTTGGCTTTGTGTCTCTTTGAGGAGCTCAAACTTATTTGAGCACATGGAGAAGATGTTTTTAAATATTTAGGAAATCAGATATGTAAACATGTTTTCCTCTCTCCAGACAAAGCAGATTTTTCCACCTGTAAAGTTCTTTTGGCATGAGTGTTCTTATGCAATCAACTCATTAAAACTTGTTCCTAAGATTCTTATTGTTTAGAGACCATATGGCCACATAAAATAAAAATAATCATAATCTTTTATTTCTAATAAAAGGAAAAGTATATATAGTTTCCCATTTTCCAAGAAACCACCAAATGACATTGACAACAATACACAGTGGATATGTTAGACTTCTTGGGTGATCATAAAATATTATACACTTAATACATTATAAAAATCACAAGATTATCCCCTTTCAGCATGAGAAGCCAGAAGGCCTGAATAAAAGCAGCCTGATCCAGTGCACTTTCCCACAGTGAGCATCTTGCAAAGAGGTCTAGGAGAAAGTCAGAGGTTGAAACTCTGTGGAGATGTTAAGAATTGTGGCTCTTACAGACTTTTGTTATGTGTGCCATTGTCTTTAATTTTGTGGAAAGATGATGGTGGCAAAGAGGAAATGCTATTTTTAAAACTTAACCTTTCTTATTTTTTTTTTAGAGTTGTATGTGATGGTTCGATGTTTATAAATCACTGTAAATGAGTATAAAAAGCTGTTTCTTAAAATGTTTTACATTAAACTGTCAAGGTCTCCACCAAAATTTGTTGCCTATATCTTTTAATGGAGGTTGTCTTCGAGTTTATTTGCTGGATACAATCTCCATGAAGACTGCACTACTTTGTTTCCTACAGATCACTTCCTGTTCTCTTTCGCTTTTACTCTAAAGTATCCAGTCAAACCCTCTCCTCTTCACTTTTCTATTCCTACAAAAATAATATCAGAAAAAAAGTGGTTTCTTTCTTTTCTTGGACTTTTTATTTTTAATTCCTGCTTTTCTCAAATTTTCTTCTTTGATTTATTTTTAAATCGTTCTTTAACTTGTATCTTAGAAACTTGTCTATAGCATTTCTAAACTTTTGTATTCATGTGTGATATGGTTCAAGTCTGAATGTCCCCCCAAACTTCATGTGGTCAAGGGGTGAGCTTCTAGAGTCTGTGAAAGAGTCATAGTCCAATGCTGGGTTTATAGGTTTCAGTGTTACACCCAAGTAGCTGTGGCCTACATACAGTATGACAGACATAAAAGTCTTCTCTCTGTGCTTCTCCCGTACTGCTGTTGTTACTTGTGCTGTTTTATGTCCCATGTGGTATTGCCCTCTGCCATGTGCCACTTTGACTTGGAGCCAGTTAATTTAGGAATGAAACCTCTACAAAGTGTGAATCATTCTTTCCTTATTTTTTGGTGTGAGGTATTTTGTCCCAGCAAGGAGGGAAAATTAACCAATACAGAATTTGGTACCAGAGCAGTGTGGTTTGTCCTGTGTCTGTATCTTGTCATGTGGTTCAAGAGCCTTTGGCAATGGCACGTGAAAATATTTAAGAATGGTTTAGAAATATCATTTATAATGATAGAGAGCTGCAATGGCCAAGGCTGTTCTTAATGGGAAATATGGTCAGAGGTCAGAAGAACAGAAAACCAATAAGGACTAAGTTAAGGAGGTTTCTGTTGCTAACAAGAATTATACTGATTGTAGGACTTCAGAAGATGTGTGTTATGGCTTGGAAGACAGATCATCTGAGTTTTACCCATGTCTAGAGACTTTGACTGATACAGAGGTTAAGGTCAGTGCACAACTAATCTGGCAGAAGAAACTTTAAGGCAGTCTTGTTGGTGGCTTTTAGCCAGATTAATGTTGGGAATCAAAAGAAAAGAGCCCAGCAGGATGATTTATAACATTGTGAATTTGCCCAGGAAATATGTTACAGTAAAGCTGTGAACTACCAAGATAAAGCTGAGATCTCTAAAGTTGCAAATGTATGGTATAATATAAAAGATAACTTTAAGGAATCACAAGCAGCAGTGAGTCTCCATGCTATGCAGCCTCAAACTGAAAAACTGGAAGATTTTGCTTTGAGGAGAAAGCTGCAGAGCAACCTGTTCCAGAATGGTAACAGAGGACAATGAGTTTCCAGAATAGTTAAACTTGTATCAGATTCTAAAATAGTGGTGGAGTAGAGAATCTGTTCCTCCTCAAATGTCTAGAATTTTTCAGTCATCCAGTAATCTGATTCCTACAGCCAAGACAGTGGAAAGTCTGGCTAATGCTGCAAATAACAATACACATCAGCCTTATCAACAATACACCTCACCCTTATCTACATGGTGCTGGTTTTAGGTGCATGAAGAACACAAGAGTTCAGAGGTTAAAAAGGCTTCCACCCCAATTTCAGAAGGTCTGGAGGCCAGGCAGTGTGCCTGTGAAGGGCAGGAGTAAAACAGTGAGTGTAAAGCCAAAGATGTGGTGAAGACTCCACAAGATTAGAAAATCCAGGAGAGTGGGTTACCTAAGCAAAGCTGCAACGATTCTGCAGAATATGACTAAGGGGGAAGTCATGGGGGTTACCATGATGGGAAGTGCATAGAGGTGGAGTTACATGAGATTTTTGGAGCTCAGGATTTATGACAAACAGCTTAGGATGTTCCACATAGAGCTGTAGCATTTAGTGCTTGCCTTGTATTTTGGATTTCCTCTCTTTCCAGGCCTTTGTATCTCTCTATTTCTACCTTTTGGAATGGAATTTTTACCATGTAGCTTTAAACTTGGAAGTGTTTAACTTTTCATTTGTATCAGGTTCACAGCTAAGAGTCAGCCTTAAAACTCAGGGAAGTCTTTGGACATGAGTCTTTATGTAAAGGTAAAAATGTTAGGATTTTTGCCACTCTTAGACTCAGAAAAAACATTTTTTGCATAAAGCATGTGCGTGAATCTTTAAGAAACTGTGGTGGAATGTTACTATTTGAGTCTGCATGTCCCTAAAAACCCTCAAGTGGCCAGTGGTTGGGATTCTAGACTTTGTGAATGACTCATGGTTCAATGCTAGGATTATGGGTATCAGTGTTACACCCACATGGGTGTGGCCTACATACAATATAAGGGTAAGATTCTGCTCTCCATGCTCCTCCCCATTTGCTGTTGTTGCTTGTGCAGTTTTCTTCCTCCATCCACTCTTGCCCTCTGTCATGTGCAACTTGCCTTGGAGCCAGCTGGACATACACTGAAAACTCCACAAACTCTGAAATATATAAACCTTTCTTTGCTTAATTTTGGGGGTCAGGTAATTTTTCCCAGCAAGAGAAACAACTAACCAGGACAGTGAATTATTGAAAGAGTAGAAAACTTTCTAAACTAACTCTACATTATATACCTATATATGATTAGTTCTTTGCAAGTAGATATTACAAGTACCTGTCCTCTGCTTGCATTTCAGTGCTAGTGATCTGTAGCAGCAGGTCTTTCTAGACCAATTAACCTACAACACTCAAAACCACAGGAATAATGAAATGTAATCAATAATATACCGGAAAATTTTATTATTCCCAATAGCTGACAGCTAATAAAATGGAAAAAAAATTCTCTAGGAAAGAACTCAGAACACAAATGGTCAAATATTTGAAGAGATCAGAGAAGAAAATGCATAAAATGTCCTTCAAACTCAAATAATACATACAAAAGCAAGGGGATGTTTCTAACTAGTGAGATGTACAGAATCCTTAAAACAGACATAAAGCTGAAAAACTGAATAAGATATGAATTAACGTCCTTTGAAAGAATTAATATTTGTATCAAAGAATAAAGAAGGACTCACTGCAACTGCATAACCAGACTGGGCTTTAAGTTGGGTTCAAGGCACGCTTGAAATGCACAGCAGAAACCTATCTCCAGATATATACCAAAACTTAAAAAACAACAATAATTCATGTGTAGACTGATGGGTAATGATGTTAAATATGAAATTATATTCATCATGTTAAGTCAGTGTGCTTTCTTAGTGTTCATGTTTGAAAGTCAGATGAGGATATTCAGTAAAAAATGACACTATGGAAAAAGCACCAGAGAAATGAAATACTGCTCACTCTGGAGATGGAGGAAAATGCCACCAGTCAAAGAACGAAAGAAACTCCTAGTACAGAAAAGACTAGAGAGAGAGTTTGTCTATAACATACAAATTGAAAGCACCCTGCAATACACTGTTTTCAGTCAGGTGATGAATATAATATAAGTAAAGGAACAAATATAAAGAAAGGAATCTCTCATTTCTACCCCACGAGTTGGTAAATTATTATAAAACAATAAAAAGTTAATACAAACATCTCGACTACATTGTCCTATCACAAAGCATCTAGGAGACATGAAGCCTCTCTATCTTCTACACAGTACTACAGACTTCCTCATGCAACATTTTAGACACCTTCTCTCAGGCAGCAGGAGGAAGTTTTCAAGCACTGGGCCACATGGAGTGCAAGCAGCTGGGGAGAGCCTGAGAGGAAGTTTTTGTTCGAGGCTGAATCACTGTGGGAGGAGCACTAATAAACTGCTGGCAGAAATAATCTGCCACATCTTCAGCCTGCAGGCTGCTGATGGTGAGAGTGAAATCGGTGCCAGACCCACTGCCACTGAACCGGTCTGGGACCCCAGATGCTCGGGTGGATGCCCAATAGATGAGCAGTTTGGGAGATTGGCCTGGTTTCTGCTGGTACCAGCTTAAAAGATGCTTGTTGTTACCACTGTAAAAAAGACTCTGGCTGGACTTGCAGTGGATGGTGACTCTCTCTCCAGGCGACACAGCCATGGTGGCTGGAGACTGGGTCATCACAATGTCACCAACGACACCTGCAATCAGGAAAGCAAAGTGTTATACATGGACATACACATACAAGCTTCATCTTATTAGTATTGTAATAAATCATTTAAAATGTACATAAATGCTACTGCAAATTAGTACACACTTGGGTCATGTTTTTAATCATTGTACTTTAAAATTATAATTTTAACTCCATAAAGATACTATTCTAAGTGATTTTGGAACTCTCCAGATTCTCACCAGAGACCCAGAGCAACAGGCACATAAAGACCTGGATCTTCGACCTCATCTTGCTGCCCTGACTTCCTGATAGATCTCAGATCTCCTTGCAAATGCCTTGTTTATGAAGTCTGAGAAGTTGGGCTGGCCCTGGAGGAACCTATGAAAATTCATCTTTACATAGAGAAGCAAATTGCATGGGCAATGAGTTATGAAAGTAACTGATTAAATCAGGAACCGAAAATACCTCCATGGAAATTGAACTTGTGGGAGTTAAAAAAATGAGTAGTTCATTCAGAAACACTAAGATCATTTTAGAAGTTCTAAAATTAAACCACCTGATGGCCTATGTAAGGACTTTAGTCTCAAATCAACAAAACCAATTCAAATGAATTTTGCATATTACAGAAATAATAGGCTAACTCCCTATCAGCACACTAACACAAAAAATATGCTAGAAAAACCAATAATATAAAAAATAGAACAAAAAAAGAGAGAGAGACAGAGGGAAGAAATAGGGAAAGACAAGAGGAAACAATCTCTAAACAAATTCACATTTTTAATGACCAAAAGAATGTCTGCTTTCCAAAGCCACTTTTATCCTGATGGTGAGGAGCACAGGAATTGGCTGAGCTCCAGAGTATCCCTGTGCCTGGGCCACACACTCTAGAGATTTAAGCTGGGGGCAAGAAGAACTCCATGACAGTGTCAATCAACAACACACAGATGACTCTACTTTCCACAGCTACTGGGGAATGAGGATAGGGATCCAAGTAAATTGGAAAATGGAGCAAAACAGAAAAACAGCATAAAATATAATTGGAAAATGATGGCTACAAGGCAACATTGCAAAACTATTTACTACAAACACACCTAGACTGGGTAAGATAGAAATCCACAAACATGAAATTAGTTTAAATTGGCAGTTCTGACAATTAGGTACCTAGTTAAAGTCTCCCTGAAGGAAGACACCAACATTCTCATTCCCTAAGAAGACTTACACATAATATGTCTACTGTAAATAAACCATAAATTGAGATTAATGGAAACCCAAATCAAAGTAATTTGAGTGGGAATGAAATATAAGCAAAGAATTTGTTGCTCCAATTGATTGAAAACATTTTTAGAAACATGATTTATAAATATATTGAAATTCAAAATAAATTATAATACTATAGGTATATTCAGAACATAAAAAGCTAAAACATTTAAAAAAATATTAATCAATATTAACCAATTGAAATCTCAGTGTATCTCATATCCAGTAAAATTATTTAACAGAACTTGAAGTTTAATATCAAGCCAGAAATATTTTGTCCACCAGAGATATTAAGTTTTCTATTAATTCAAGTTGGCTTTACTTCATATTTAATTAATTCTATTTTTTGTGTATAAAATATTATTATAATAAATTACAACAGGATATTAAATTTTCATAAAATTATTAGGATAACATCATATGAGAGATATCCTGCGGGTTGAGGAAGTTCCTAATTTCCCAGGGTATGAAAACAAAGAATAAGTGAAACTGTCTACATTTATCCCTCACAAGCTGGCATTTTCTCTAGAGCTTTGTTCCAATTCATAACTTGCCTTTGGTTTTGCTTTAAGGAGCTCAAATTTCTTTTCTTTCATTTCACTTATTAGTGCTTGTTCAAGGTAAGCAGGTGGATAAGAGGGTCTTCAATACCCAGGATAATCAGACATAAAAACAGATCATCCCCTTTCTGGACAATGCAGGCATTTGCAGCTGCCTAGTTCTAATTCGAGTGTTCTTAGGTATTCTACTACCTAGATGCATGAGAGGACTATACCTAACACTTGTTCCTCATACTCTCAGTGTTTAGTGGGCATACACACAAATAAGTTAAAAATAGGCATACTCTTTTATTCATAATGTAACGGAATACCTAGTTCCTCATTTTACCACAAGTCACAATAGACAGGGGATCACAAAAGAGAGGGATACATTAGACTCCTTGGACTATCATAAAATTATTACAAACTTTTAGACTGAAAACAACAGAGGATTACCCTCTCTCAGCATGGGAGACAGGAAGCCTGGAATGAAATTTGCTCTTCAGCTCTGATCCAGCTCTGTTGCTCACAATGAGCTTCTTGGAAGAGGCCTAGGAGAAAGGCAGGCAGAGGTCCAGATTACCCTAAGACATTCAAAGACTGGTCTTTTCTGCCTCTTATGTATGGTATCACCTTTTACTCTGTGGACAGGTGATGGTAATGACCTAGAATATGTGGCCAGAAGGAGGAAATTTGGAGAGCTTTTCTCCATCTTCATTCAGAAAATCATGAACATAAAATTATCTCTTGCCCATTCTGTGCCATACCAAAATGGTTCTCCTCTTCAGAAATGTTTTTGATTAATCTGATATGGAGAGACAGAAATAAGCCCAACAATACACTAGTTTAAAAAGTAGTTACCAGGAAGTTTAATATTTACTGTGTAAATTATAGTTCTCCCTAGAAGAAAAAAATAGATTTTTTACAACTCAGTTCTTTTGACTTAAGCATCCTTATGGAGTATAATTACTAGGCCTGGGGAAAATATTCTACCATTGGTTTCTAACATTCTTATAATTTGTTTGGTAATTGCAGATGTCAGAAGCTCTTAACTAACTCCATCTTCTTAATGAGAAAAAACACAGATGATCAGCACTTGTGAAGTAGGATATATCTGTTTCTCTCATAAGCAGGGACAGAAGTAAGCATGTTGTCTTTTTTCCTCCCAGACACTGATTTGGAAGAAAACATGTTAACTAGGATCTCTTCTGCAGGAGGGTCACATGCATTGCCATCCCTACACAGGTCCAAAATTTCAGACTCGGGTCTTTCAAATCCCTGTCCAAATAAAATGGAGTATTTCTCTTTGTTTTTCTTTTTAACATAGAATAAATCTTACCTTCATTGGTTCATGCAAGGGGCCAACAATCCTGGCCTTGACTTCTCCCATGTCACTCAACCAGCAAGTTTCAATAGCATGCCCTGGATAAAATTTTTCCTTGCAAGTCACAGATCTAATAATTTAGGAGGAAGCAGTTGGTGCAGCTAGGCTCACTGACCCATGGCCTGATGAGGTTTGTGTAGGAGTCTGAAGCACTGAAAGAGGTAAATTTTAATATTGCTGACAGTAATAATTGCCATAACTTCTGCTTTGGCGTTGTTTATGGTTTGAGGGAAGTCTGACACAGACCCATTGCCACTGAACCAGTCGGGGTTCTGAGATGCCTGAGTGGATGCCCAGGGGGTGAGCAGTCTGGGGGCCTATTCTGGTTTCTGCTGACACCAGGATAAGTGATTACTACTTTGTTTGCTCCAAACAAGACTCTTGCTGGATGGAAAATGATGGTAACAATCTCCCCCACAGCTGCAGTCATGGAGCATGGAGTCAAGTTTACCATGATAGCTCCATAGGCCACTGAACCAAAAGTACAGAAGGATCATCCACTGCCTACCCCCAAAGGCACCCAAATGCAAACAAATTGTCATACACACATTGCAGTCTACAGTGTAAAATTCATTTTAAATTGTTATTAACAGTCAGCATGCCCTTCAGTCCTTAATGGGAAAAGTTTTTAGCCTATGATATCATAAACATATATTTTCTCTTATACAGATCTTACTCTGAAGACATTGCAGTTTTAAATTTTCAACAGAGATCCATAGGAACAGAACTAGTAAATCCTGGGTCTCAGATACCATCTTGCTTATCCTGTCTCAAAGACAATTCCTTTTTCACTGCAAAGTCCTTTTTAACAAAGTCTGGGGAGGTGATCTGGAGTTATGGTGACACATGCAAAATGATCAAAAGAAGAAAATTGAATTACCATTGTATTGTAAAATTATCTGACATGTATCAGGAGGTAAAAAATAATACAATCATCTGAGGTGTAGTCGTGTGATTAAAAAAGCCATTGCACTCAAATTACGAGATTTGTAGTCAACTTCAAAACTCTGTTACTAAAAGTCAGTGAATTTACTAACCTGTCTATACTAAGTCAAAAAATTGTTTGAAATGGATGTAGTATCCAAAAAAATGGATGGCCTAGGTTCCTTAGATTAATAATCCTGATGAAATAATATAACCTAAAGAAAAAAGGGAAAGGACTCAGAGAAAGAGAGAAGAGAGAGAGAGAGAGAGAGAGAGAGAGAGAGAGAGAGAGAGAGAGAGAGAGAGGAGTGGATGGAAAGGAAAAGAAAGAAATAAAAACAAGAAAGGAAAGAAGAAATAAGAAAAGAAAGGAAGGAGGGAAAAGAAAAAAGGAAGGGAGACAAAAGCAAAGAAAAATAAAGCCAAATAGAGACTGGAGAGTAAGAACGAAGGAGAAAAGGAAAAGGAAGAAAAAGAACAAATAAGGAATAAATTAAAAAGGGAAGGAGGAAGGAAAAAAAAAGGGCAGAAGGGAGCAGCTGCAACTTGAAAGGAAAAAAGAAGAATCTCTTAAATATAATGTAAAGTAACTTTCAAACCAAGATTCTCTACAGAGAAAAATGAGACTTCAAATGTAATACACAGAAGAAAATAAAGAACATATCATCAATACTTTCACACAAAGAGATGATCATAAGTTCTCCATAGAGAAGAAAAGTGGAAGCCAATGAAGATTAGAAAGCACCAAGGATGGTTGGTAACCAAGGAAAAATGATATTGAAATCTTTTCATGGATGACTGACTAGGTCATCAGAAACTTTACCAATATTTTGTGGAGTTTATATCACGTAGAATTAAAATTATCAGAATAGTAATGGGGATACTTTAGAGAAGAAAATCCAGATAGTACCTAGACAGAGTCACAGCAGCCCACTGAGGAGGTCACCATCTTTCCTGCTTCCTGGTATCCCCTCCACCCTGGTAGCACTAACGCTCTGCTATCTACCAGGGTCATCAGTCCAGGATTAAGAAAATGAGCATGTGGTTTAATAGGTAGAACATTAAACACTTTGTTGAATTTTTACTTCTAAACTCATATTTTATTAGTTTTATTAATGTACACGTATAATAAATATTTATAGTATGAGGAGTAGGTACATACTTTTAACCTATCAGAATTATTTTTGACTGCTGCTTTCCTTCCCTTCTCTCCTCTTCCCACTATCTCTTGTTTTCTTACCAATTGGCAGAGGAT